CCGATTTGATTTGAAACTGTCTCATTGCTATCTTTTTATCAATAAAACTTTGAAAAAAAAAGAAATTTCACATCTTCACATAATCAATTTTATCACTAACGTCCTTTCTTGGAAGCTATTTTATAATTGTCTAAGGCCACAATAATTTTCCTTCATTTTTCTTGTAATATGGATTTTAAATACACATCTTATTACCCTTGAAATATCTTGAAATTGCTTTGTAATTTTTTGATATGTAATTGTATTCTCATCAAAAGTTTCCAAATTGGTAGCTAGCGAGCTCAATATTTTATGAAATAACATTTTAAACTTCATTGGTTTTTGTCACCACATACTAAATTTATCGATGAAATGTCCAACATTTTTGTGATTTCCACTAAAGTCTTTGATAAACTTTTTTCTGCATGCCCATATTCATATTTATTATTCTTATTTTAACATCATAGACGTATCTTGATTCATTTTTTAACTCATGGGCTAACTGATTTTAATTTCCTTAATTCATAGTTTAATTTGGTTTGATTTTTCTTCTTTTTCAATTATTACTAATAGTTTCACACTTCTGCATTTTGCAACTGTTTTGAGCTAGTTCTAAATGCCAAAGGACCAGTGCAACTGGCTCTTGTCTCTAAGGAGTAACCGCCCTGACAGATACAGTCAATTCAGATTGAGAAGTGAAAGAATCCCGAAAGCTTGCATCAGAAGGACAGAGTCAGCTTAAGAAGCAAAAGTTTAATTTGGGTTTTAATTTGGAAGCAGAGCTGTACCAGGGCAACAAACAGATGAGCAGTGAGGGTTCTACCCGTGCAAACAGCAGCCGCGGACGGGAGCTGCAGACAGGGCTGGCTGACACGTGGGAGAAGGGCTCGGAAAGGAGTCCGAGCACTATTCATTTCTACTGGAATTTTCTAATAATTTAATAAAGTAGAAAACCAGTGCTATTAAACTCTGCATCAGGACAATAGTAGTAATTTTAGGTAGGCCATCATTATTGAATTGAATTCAAAAATTTAAGTAATGTTATTTGTTGAAGAATGAGACGGCGAGCACACTGGTGTACGGATGATGTCCGTATTTAAAGTTAAAACTCCAAGAGGGAAGACCACTGCTTTTAAGAATTGTCAGTCCGCTTTAAGATAGGAAGCAGTGCTGGGCATGGTGGTGCGTGCCTGTAATCCCAGCCATTCAGGAGGCTGAGGCAGGAGGATTGTGAATTTGAACTCCGCCTGGGAAAATTAGTGACTTAGTGAGAACTTGTCTCAAAATAAAATAAAAAAAAAAAAAATCAAAAGGGATGGGGATGTAGTTCCCTGAGAGGCTTTTGTTTGATCTTTCTCTCTTCCTCCCACACAAGGGGACAGGATTGATGTCAATTGTTCCGATTTTCTTGAAGTTCCCCATGTTCTCCACGAGTGTGACATTCACTACAGCGATACAGATTACCAGTTCGAACCATCAGCCAGCAAAGCCCTGGGGAATGGGAGCAGGGGAAGGAGCGGGTGGAAGCAAGAAAGGGCAGCAGTCAAAACACATGAGCTTCTTCTGCAAGTGTTGATGGTAAAGTAATAGAAGGAGAAGGTAGTTTTGGGAACAGCACAGGCAGACTCTATCAAGGCTTTTCTTAGGCTCTAACCTGATATGCTAATCATTTCAGCAAACGTACATCCAACATTGCACACCTTAAATCACACATTTCTGTGGTTGTCATTTTCATGGTTTGGGGATTGAAGCCAGGGCCTTTGTGTGGAGCTATATTCCCAGCCCTCTTGTAACTTCTTGAGCAAAGCTCTTTTTATTTTGCGAAGCAGCCTAGGCTGGGCTTAGATTTGTGATTTTCCTGTCTCAGCCTCCCAGAGTGTTGGGATTGCAACGGTGCACTGACACATGTGGCTAAATATGTATATATTTGAATTCTCCAATATGCTTTAATAAAGGTAATGGGGGAGTTCTTAACCATATTTAGGAGACAGAGGAAAATGATTCAGATAGAAATGGAGAAAATGAATGTTAAAGAGGAAAACCCACTTTAGACAATAGGCACTTTACCTTTTTTTCTCTTCAAAGGGCAACAGAGATAAAACTAGATGGTGTCAAGAAAGAGGCATTAGTGTAGAGGGTTCAGTGGCCTACAATGATATGTTATTCTTCCAGGGAGGTTGGAATAAAAATTATCCCCCAGGACCACTCTCATCAGAATCTAAGAGAGGACGTATTGGTAAACTCCAGCTTATTCCAACTAAAGTGATAAAACTGCAGCTCAATGCAGTAGGATTTTCTCTTGATGATGTGCTTATGTGATTGGGTAGACATTGGTGTTGCTTTTGTTGTCTATTGTGGTACTGGGGTTTGAACCTCCTGTTTTAGGCAAGGAGCAGAACAAATGGGTAGACAATGGAAGAGATGAAGGAATTTCTGAAAAGAGTCCATCCCCCTTGATGGCAGGAAAGAAGGCATGTGTGTTTGAGAAGCTGCCACACGCTAGAGTCCAGTTGAAAGTGCTTCGGGCTTCTTCTAGGGTAAAGAGATTCTACCGCTTTTGGTACCGCATCATCTCTTCTCTGTCGGGCCCTAGAGAAACTGCTAAAGCAGAGACTTAAAACTTGAAGGATTTCCCTTCCTTGTGGTTATGAGAAACACACCTTCTTTCTTGGCAAACAGAGTCAGTAATGCTGATTGCTTCCTGCAATCCTGTGGATTTGTGTATTCTCAATCTTAATCCCACATATTTGTGATGGGCCTGCCAGCATGGGGGGTCAGATACCCCGCTGATAGTTGTGGCACGGTTTGGTTCATAATCGCTGCTGTCCCACCTGCAAACCATGCAAGACGAGCCACTTTCTGTGTGAGAAATCCAGAATGACAATGCCCTCGTGTAGCTCACTGCCCTTTTCTTGATGTTGCTTGTCCTGATTCTTTTCTTTCCTTTTTGCTATCTCAGCAGCCTCTTATCTGGTCTCCTCCTTTCCCATTCTCTTCCCAAGATTATTTTCCATAGTTTTTGTTTGTTTGTTTGTTTGTTTGTTTTTGAGGGAGGAGATGCAATCTAACAACTGTAGTGAGTGTCCTGCGTAGTCACTGCTGAAAAGCTTCACTGTCATCTTGTGTCTGAACAAATTGGACAGAAAAAGTTTTCACAGCGTGCTTTTCCTTCAGCTGCAGCCCCCACCATCCCTATCTCTGGTACTGCAGTGACAGCAACTGCTGTCATGATCGCAGTAAGCTAGTGCTCTCTTGCCTCTAACCGAGCTGTGCATCCAGGGTAGATGCTACTCTTTCTGGTGTTGTCCCTAAGGAGAGGTCACCAAACGCTGTCCCTCCCTGCAGCTTTCGCAGACCTCACTATCTCTTCCAAGGAAGGATTAGAGGTTTATTTCATCTTTATTATATAGTACCTTATATAAATATCAATTTGGAGCATATCATCCTCATTTATATGTTTGTTTTCACAACCAGACTCGAATTTTTTGAGATGGAAAAATTGAGTCATTAGTGCTACGTTTCCCCAATGTCTGATGCATCAGGGCTACACCATAAATTATACTTGAATACATTCCAACCAGAGGTCCTGTCTTTATGTAATCCAAACTGAAAAGTAGAGTTCTTTGGAGCAAGCAAAGGGTACAGCTCTTTTTATTATGTTATAATGGCAACAAGTCTTTGAGATTTTTTTTTATGTATATCATACTTATAACAGCACTGATGAACCTGAGTACCTGTTTTAGTGGGAATTGGAACTGTAGAAGTCGTTGCTTTGTGATTCATACATCAGGAAGTGGGCTCACTATGCTTGTGTCAGACCAAAAATGTAGTTTTTATCAAGACCTCAGCCAACAACTTTTATGAACTCAGGAGCAGTAAAGCATTTTACATTCTAGGCCAAGGGCATTTTGGGAAAGAACAGAATAGGGGACAGAGTGCTTCTGCTCAGAAGAACTCTATTGTGGAATGTTAAACTTGGGTTTAAGGCACTGGGGTGTAAGAATGCCAGGATAAATGGTAAGTTCACAGAAGATTTTAAGTACAAGTGGAGTGTTGTGCCTTTGCTTTGCTGAGATGATTTGTTCCACCAGAAAGCGCTAGGGTGGATTTTAATGATTCTTTTTGCTTGAGATTTAATTAAGCCTCTTCTTCTCTCCTATAGGTTTCAGAACCTCCTCTGGTCCAGAAAGACATTCGTGGACAACATGAAAGTCTACAACCACAGTTACGTCTACATGCCAGCCTTTTCTATGAAGACAGGAACTGAGCCATCCCTCCGGGTCTATTATACACTGTCAGATGTTGGTGCCAATCAAACAGTGCTTTTTGCCAACCCCAACTTTCTGCGTAGCATTGGAAAGTTCTGGAAAAGTAGGGGAATCCATGCCAAGCGCCTGTCCACAGGACTCTTTCTAGTGAGCGCAGCCCTGGGGCTCTGTGACGAGGTGGCCATCTATGGCTTCTGGCCCTTCTCTGTGAATATGCACGGGCAGCCCATCAGCCACCACTACTATGATAACGTCCTGCCCTTCTCTGGTTTCCACGCCATGCCAGAAGAGTTTCTCCAGCTCTGGTACCTTCATAAAATTGGTGCACTGAGAATGCAGCTAGACCCGTGTGAGGAGCCGGCTCTCCAGGCCACTTCCTAGGACAGTGGAAGAAGAGGGTACTGCGCCAGGGTATTTGTTAGGTTTTCTCTACTCAATTCCAAAGGGCAACGGTCAGGTTGTTTTGTGGATTCATATGTGCCATTTGGAAAGATGAGAAAAGGCCAAGAAAAACTCAAGCAGAACTTTGCAGCTAATGTTGGCTTGGAAGACAAATTAGAAATGAAACATTCTGTGAGTCATTTTGTAGCACACGGTGGATCCGCAACTAGGAAAATCCTGATGATGATGTTAGCAAAGCACATTTGTAGGAGTCAAATCTAGAAACGCATTCAAAAAAGCAAGATGAACTCTAGCTGTTGAGTCTGAGAAATGAATCAAGGTAGAATTTTAAAAATTCCAGGGCAAAAAGTGTGTTGCTGATTGGCAACACAAAATTGGCTTACTAAGCATTCAAAAAGACCTGTCTTAGTAAGACTGGTAGTAGGACTGTAGGTTTTTAAAAATTACTATTTATTTTTGCCCTATTTCAGGGCAGAGGGAGGGCGATGGGGTAGATTTTAAAAAGCCCTTATTGAATAATAAGGATACAAAACATTACAGCTGATCATTGTGGTTTGTTGAACCAAGTCTGTATTAACTATGGCTTCCCTCTATTTCTACAATTTTAAGTAAGAATCGCTTCTTCCTCTTCTGTCAAGTGTACTTGATGGTGTCAAGCGTCATTGAATTTAGACTGTTGATTCATCATGTCGGTAACCTGAGCCACTTTTCTTCCTCAGCATTATGATATAAACTCAATTTTAGGTCTGCATTATGGAAATCTGTTTGCATTGTCATTATTATTTTAGTGTAAACAGACTACCAATGTAAGTGCTTTATTGATTTGTAAATGAGCATAATTGTCTGCAAAAATTTAAAGTTCAGAGATGGAAGAAAGTACAGTGCCAGAACATTGAGTCTTTGCAGGAGATAAACCAAAAGGCAAATCATGTTTCTATGTAACGTGGTGTTCACTCCAAGATAAGTCATGCGTGTGCACAGATGCACACAGACATGTACACATGAAATAAAACTCCTTCTCATGTAGGAGAGCCAAACCCACATGACCTGGTGTACAAAACTTTGAAATCTATGTTGGGCAGCCACAATACATTATACAATGCACCCTACGTGTTAATATGAGACAAGCCAGCTTAGCGGTTGCTGCTCCTAACGCACCTACCAGCATGAGACGCAAGGCTTACCCCCAAACGCTTACTGCAGAAGGAGCAGAAATGTATTATTCATTCTGACTCCCACCTACATCTGGTGAACGGTCTTTGGGTTGAGGATGGTCACCCAAGTCATGGTTAATACAAGTGAAGGGACATACATTAGTATCTCTTTCCTTAGGCAGGTTGGTTCAGCCGACTTGACACACAGAAAGAAAACACTAGGGGCAGATTACAGTCCAGTAAATGTGTTTACATGTAAGATAAAGATTTGTCTTCATGCTTTAGGATATCCTAAGCTAAAAGGAGATGCTGAAACTCATTATTTGCTCAAGTGTCATATGAAGTATTGGTGAACTGTGTAGGGATACTCTCCAGCTTGATGGCAGAAACTTTGTATGCCATAGAGATGAACAAAGTGTCATTTTTTTTTGTAGTTGAATAACTTATGAGGTAACAAGATAACAAAGCCCTGTTTGAGTAAGGAATTTCTAAATGAGTGTTGAGAGTATTGTAGAAATCAGCTTTTGTAATGGTGGTTGACTGGTTGGCAATACGACAGATTATGCTGATGCTTGCCAAGCCAGGAATTTGACTTTCTCTTTGCAGACTGGGCTGCTATTTTGATCTTACATAGAAGCAGAAGTGTAATGGAAGACACTAGGAATGAACTGTGTTAAATATGTATTCATGCACAGCCCTCTTTGGAGTATATTTCCTCAAATGAACTATGATTTAATATTTAAGAAAGGAATACATCTTTACCAACATACTATGTTAAGGTGTAAAAGGGCTACAAAAAATACACATAAATTAATCAAACATCAGTCAGATGAGTGCATTCATTTGTCAAATTGTTAAAACACATTCAGTCAGCTCATAAAGCCTGTGTGTCACAGTTCCACTCGAAATGTGATCCAGAAGTTTTATATCTAGGTATAATTTCTGGGATAGATTTATGCAGTAGATGTAGATTTTTGCAATGTTTAGTGTATACATTTTTAAATTATGTTCTGAAATGCAAAAGAGCAGTGGCCAGTACCAGTTATATTTTATCAGACCTGTGTTTCTCAACTGAGGTGATTCCCTTTCTCTTTCTGACGCCATCGACGATGTCTGGAGGTGGCCTTCCCTGTCGTGACTCAAGGCTGCTACTAGCCCTATGTGGCTGCGTCCACAGACCCTGCTTCCTGAGCTGTGGTGCCCAGGTCCAGCCCTCACAACAAATAATTACCTCATCTAAAATATTTGGAGCCTCAAGGTTGAGAAACTAGATTAGACCAAGATGAAAGTTTGAGTATTCTACATTATCTTATATACTTAAGTATGCACATACATCCTCACACTAGTCAAAGTATGTTTAGAATTGAATGAGAATGTTTTATTAGAGTAGAAGATAGTTCAGTGTTACTTTATAATGATGATTCATAGTGATGTCATACATATACACTTTGCTGTGCTTGGTTACATGTAACTAAAGAAGTCTGTGGTGTGTGTATATGTGTGTGTGTGTGTGTGTGTGTATGTTTGTGTGTATATCTGTGAATGTGTGTGTGTATCCTGAAGTTATGCATCTTTCTCTACTGAAATAAATATGTTCCTAAGTAGGAACTTCTTTAGAGTTATCCTGTAGAGTACTCCCATTTGTTAATTTTATTTATCTGAAATTCAGACCCTTAGAATTGGGTCTGGTATTTTCCAAGTTGGTTCAATTTTAATTTTAGTATTCTGTCTTTTACTATTGAGGTCAGAAGATACTTGGGTTATAGTAGACACACTGAGACACATCTAATCACCTTTAATGCATCTGCCAAGAGAGGGCCTCCTCTCTGCCATCAGACTAATTTTTAAAATTGGTGTGGTAGTGGTGGAGGAGTGTGTGTGTGTGTGTGTGTGTGTGTGTGGCAAAAATTAAGGCGTTGCATGGGGGAAGAGGGAAGGATGGAGAGTAGAAATCAGTACTCTGATAAGACTTTTAACTTGTATTACCGCCAATCTGAGAATTGCATTGATTTTAAAGATCATGGATAAGGACAATCTCTGTTTATTTTAATCACACCTTAGCAAAATTACGACAAGTGATGGATTAAATCATTTCGTAAGGAAAAAGTAACATTTTATATGAAAGAATTTTTTATATGAAAGAGGACTTGTGGACCTTGTGCTTTATATAGAATATTTTTACCAAAAGTTTATATGAAATTGTGGATCTATACTGCATAATTCTCACAGAAGAAACTAGGAGAGTGCTTTCTGGATTTTGTCTCTGTTTAGTTTAGCTATTTTAACCAAGATAGGAGGAAAGTGATCCAACATGGCAGATGTTCAGACAGTTTCCTTTGTTTGGCTTTGTGATCTCATGCCCCCCCTTTGACTAAAACTTTGTTTAGACTAAATATTACTTGTACCTGTATCTGGACATTCTCACTTAAAATGGAAAATAACTGAAGAAATCTGGGATCCTAAATGCGCCACAAACGTCCTTAGATTTTTCAAAAAGCTTTATAAGAATGTTGTAGGTGACCCAAAATGGAAACACTATCAATAACACTTCTTTTTGGTAGCCAGGGTAGTTTGTAACTTTAGTACATGGAACCTCTATTTGGTTGGAAAGTCAGCCATCTGTAGTTTTTAATTCCTATGTTTGAAAATACTAACCTTGTGAAATTTGTAACAGACAAATCTTTATTAAGAGCTTTGTTTCCCCATTCAATCTAAGTGGAAAAATGAGGCCAGTCCACTAAAAACTGGAGCAAGAATTTATGGTGTTATAGAAGTGCTTCGCCACAGAACCAGGTAGCGTTACCTTTTGTTTACAGAATTTCAATGATTGAGAGCTGTGAGGGTTTTATGGAAACGTGAGGACAAGAATGTTGAGGAATAAGGACTGAGAGTAATTGCTGTACTTTTTATTTCTATATATATTCCCAGTATAAAAATTGACTCTCAGATTATATGGCTTTGGGGAGAGCACACTTCCGAGATGAAAGTAAATTAGCAATGTCAACGCCCCTGCAGCCTCTATCGATGTGTAAAGTAATCAGCAATGAATGCAACTGGCCATGCTGGCAACTCGGTACCGTGGTTTGCTCAGGAGAGGATGAGGCACAAGGAAAAGAGGAGCCATCCCACCCCCAGGCTGCTGCCTGAAAAGTGTCTGAGGGGCTCTACCCCTGCCCTTAGCATTGCAGGCCTGTCTGTCTCTGCCCTACCGGAGGAGCTGGCTTGGTTTGTAGGCTGAGTTAACAACATCGCCTCGAGGGGTGGCATGGAAATTTCCTGAGAAGCTTATGTTTTAACACTACCTTAAACTATTTTGCTTAGAGTTGTGCTCTCTAAATTTGGGTGTCCCGTGGCAGAGTCTGCTGACCCCAACCTAATTATAGCCCTGCCAGTGATGGTGAAAAATGGAATTTTTTTACCTATTTAGAAAGATTTTCTAAGTGCTTGAAACAAGGGAGATGTAACATATTCAATGCATTCCTACACAGCTTCTTCAAAAGTCCTGGAAACAGATTGGCTGGGATTCTGAACCCCGGAGTGTGTGCCTATAAACTAAAATTCCAAAGCCACGATGCGGGGCTGGTGAGATGGCTCAGTGGTCTAAGGCACCTACTTAGAACAAGCTTAGCAAAGCACAGGGACTGCGGTTCAATCCCCCAGCACCACATGCCAGCCAGCCCCGCCCCCTGGTGGGCTGAGCTGGCCACACACACACACACACACACACACACACATAAATAAATTAATTTAAAAAAAAAAGCCACGATACGTAGGTTGACCACCATAAAACTACTCTTTTCTTTTGAGATGAAGGAGACTTGAATCTATAGGCATTTTTCTTCCCACCATCAGAAAATGGATACTGCCAAATCCTCAGTGTTGGTCCATCTTTGACATTTTTATGTCTACCTTAGAGGAGACAGATTGAAACGCACACATGAATGAAGAGCATACTCACACAT